GGTTGCGGTGTTGGCGCCCCTGCTCTGGGCTGCCCGCCCGGCTCCTCCCCCCACGCGGGCCAGTGGTCGCGTCCGAGGATCCTCGGTGAGGACCTAACTTCCAGCTCTTCGCGTCACTCAGCGGATGCACAGCACCCCCGCCTCAGAAGGAAGGGAAGGCTCTTTATTTCCCAGCAGGCCGCGGGGTAGCTGGGCATCCTGGGATTTGTAGTCTCTGCTAGTGTAGCCAGGACCTGGGTCGAAGGAATGCGCATGCAGGGTTGGTGTGTGTCGGAACCCGGACGTGAAGCGAATGGGATTGTGAATGATGGACAGAAAGACAGTGAGATGAGACAGAAATGACGCTGTGTGAAGAGGCAATGGGAAAGGAAGATAAGAATGGGAGGGAGGTCTCTCGCCGTGGCATATCTTTATGCAGCACAAAAGGGAAGAAGATGTCACACATGTGCCAAGGCGCCTGGTTAGCTTCTGAGTTCGGCGGGGTGAGAAGCAGAGCATCTGGACAGTGGTCCTTCAGGGTTGAAGGGCCGTAGCACCTGTCTGCTTCCCCTTGCTGGCTCATTCGTTTGTTCTGTTTCCTGTGCTGGCCGCACTGGGACCATTCTCCAAACCAGGAACCTCCTCCACCTCAGAGAGGCCCTGAAAACCAGACAGAGGGATGAGCCAACTGTATGGATGAGAAAGAAGAAATTCCAAAGAAAAATAACTTTATCCTCCCCCATTTTTTCTCATAGTGTTTCCAGTATATATTCACCCAGCTTTCTATACATACCTTCTCTTCTGGTCCCAATCATTTGGTTACCCAGTTCACTTTTACCCGCCATTAGAGGAGGAATGTCCAAAGCCAGAAAACCAGTTTCAGTCTAGGTCCTCTTAATCTGCCCCTTGCCCCACTGTCCTTTCAGATTGCTAGAGGAAAAATTAGCTGGTAACTGCTCCATGTCCTCCTGCCTGTCCCCAATACCTCCTGCAGCTCCTGGTAGTGCAGACCCGGGTTCCTGAAGCATCCTGGGTTTCTCTGGCTCAGCAACAGCAGGGCATATGCTGAAACCAGCACTCCTCCTGTGGTGAAGGCCTCGGCACTGAGCTCGAGCACCAGCAAGCCTGCAGGCTGCAGATAGAGCTGAGGATGCTGTGGGGACCCAGCACCTGTTTCTCCTTGCCCTTCCTCTCCCTATCTCCTCTTGCTTCCTCCTCTTCCCCCAGGCTCCTTCATTCGCCCGTACCTGAGAGTGGGCAGTAGAGGCAGGCCTCAAGGCTGTCTTCACCACCTCGACCACCAGCGCAATGAAGCCCAAGATGAGGTTGAAGGTGTTGAATATCATCATGGCCCGAACCTGCCAGTGAGCTAGGTCAGCCCTGTGCAGCCTAAGGGACTCATTCCAACCACAAGCCCCACCTATAGCCTAGCTGTAAACAGAACTCAGCTCCTGTTCTTCCACTTGCCAACAAGGCTATTAGCTCTCCAACTTCTTGCTTTCTCTCCTTAGTATTTTAGGCCAGTCAGGTTCAGACAGCTGATTAGTTAACAATAGTCATAGAGTCACTTACTTCCTTGGCTGAGGTTTTGTGTGTGTGTGTGTGTGTGTGTGTGCGCGTGCGTGCGTGCGCGCGCGCATGCGTATCTGTCTGTGTCTATTGAGGGGCAGGTGGGAGGACAGTACTACACTCTCTTCCCCTCTTACCTTCCATAAGCGAGGTGCTCTTCGAAGCTCAAGGGTGACAGTCCCTGTGAGGAGACCCTGAATGGTGAGAAAAGCAAGTGTCTAACTGTGGTTCCATTAAGGTGGGGCTCCTGGGACTTTCCTTCCACCCTCCCTCGTGACAGGTCTTACTGAGACTGCAGGTGCAAATAGCAGTGATGTGGCCATGTGACAAGCAGAGTTCAGGCAGGCGACTGAGACAGTAAAGGGCACCACAACTACTGCCAACCATAGCTGACTCACCTGGAGGCCAGGACAAGGCAGCTGGGGGGAACTGTCAAGGATTCTCTTTCCTCCTTAGAACCCTTGCCTCTTGTAGAAATCAGCAATTGGAATGAATATGTGGTGGCAAGGAAAGTAGTCAACCAAAGGCAGTGAAGGAAGTGATATTTAAAAAATTAAATACCATTTAATTTGTTCTGCCTCATGTTGTAGTTTACTTACCTGTATGTTTTCCCCACATAACACAAGCTACTTGGAGATTACGGGTCTTGCCTTACTTATTTCTGTATTTCCTCCACCCTCCTCCCACCCGGAGCCCAACACAGTTTCTAGCACATCATAGGAGCTCCCTGAACATGGTTGGAACTGAACTGGCTAAAAGTGGACACGCTGAGACCTGGAATGGGGAAGCCTAGCCTCACCGCCACCACCAAGAGGTGTGCACTTTGCCTGTGCCTTGCCCAGTGCTGTAGTTTTCCCAGACGAAGACTGGGGCTCTCCTGTTCTTGCTGAGCAGATTTATCCTCCATTGGGGCTCTCTTGATCACAAAGGCTGCGTGCTTCCTAGTCTGGAAAAATTCATTACACAGGCTTTCAGGAGGCAGGAATTAAGAGACACAACGTCTCTTTCAGTTATCCCTCTGCCCACTTCCAATACTGAGGGAGCTGAGCCCGGCACGTTACACCTACCTAGTCTGAAGCAGCTACTCCTGCGTCCTGGGACTCCTTAGGGGTCAGGTAATTCAGAGCAGACAACAAATTAGTCCTGGCAGAGGAAGGCTGTCATGGCTGGGGTGTGGGGGGACAAAGGTCCTTGTGAGGGCCTCAGGATACAGGAAGTGGCCCTGGGCATTCACCAGCCTCAGTTCATAAGACACCCAGCACTGCCCCACTCTGTTCCCACTTCCCTCATTGCCCTCATTTTTTCCCCATCCTGGGTTCTTCTCTTGGTTCACTCACCTCACCTCGATGGACACTATCACACTAGACCTCAGTTTCCCCTTATTTCCATCTGATCTTGTTCTTTCTTTCTTTTTGGTTTTTTGAGACAGGGTCTCACTAAATAGTTCAGACTCACCTAGCACTCACTATGTAGCCCAGGCTGATCTCAAACTCACAGCGATCCTCCTGCGTCAGCCTCTCAACTGTTGGGATTACAGGTGTGTGCCACTATGCCTGGCCATCTTATCTTTTTGACTTCTTCCTTAAATTACTTGTTGTGCTCTAATGGGATGCTATATTACTATTTGGATCTATTACCATTTGACACTTTGTCCCCAGACCACGTAAGCTTTAATGCCCCTGGCTTTCCTCTTCTTCCTTTCTTAGTGATTTACACTGAAGTGAACCCTGGCAAAGTGGATGTGAGCCCTGTTAGTAGTGAGGATCATTTCTGAGTCAGTGGTAACTTGCACTTAGACATACACAGAACATGGTCCCCAAATGTTTAGTCTTGGTAAGGATGCTATTGCAACATTGTTTGTTTTTGTTTTTGGTACTGGGGGTCGAACTCAGGTCCTTGTGCTTGCAGGGCAGGCAGCAGAACCACTGAGCTAAATCCCCAGCCCTGCAACATTAGTTCTGAGAGAAAAGATGCCTTGTGGCCTAGGCTAGAATCTCAGCTCTGATGAGATTTTTCCCAGCTATGTGGTCTTGGATATATTACTTTAACTTTATTTTACCTATTGAACCTCAGAGTGCTCACTGATAAAGGGAACTAACAGTATGTGACTGGGTTGTTGATTCAGGGTGAATACTTAATAACCATTAATGGTGCTGATGAGGTCATACTGATGTGCCTGACACTGATATACTAAAAGGCTTATTCAGAAGCTGAGATGGGACATTTATTTCTACAGTAAGAAGCAAAACCAGCTGGACCTGTATATATAGTCTATAGAACAAAGCAAAGGCCATCTGCAGAGCCTAAAGTCTGGAGACAAACAGACCTGTATTCAAATCCCTGATCTACCTGGATGACCTTGAGCAAGTTACTTAATCTGTTTCCTTATCTATAAAGGGAAGTTAATACTAATCTCAAGGGGTTGCCTTGAGCATTAAAAGAGAAAACGCCTATGAACCCTTTTAGCCAGTACTCAGCACTTAAGTGCTCAATAAACGATTACTGGCTATGATTATTATTTACTGCTACTGAGGCTAGATGAAATTCAACCAGAAGACCCCCGGGAGTACCATGACACAGGCTCTTGGAAAGCTAGTGGTTTTCCTTATAATTCTGCCCCACTCAGTGCTGGGCAGGTATTACTGGAACATTGCATCCACTCCTCCTTCCTGGACAGTGGGAATCATTTTAAAGGGATCTAGAGAACTGCTGGGTGACTACTCCTCTCCCCTCAATCCCCATGTGAATTAATTTTATTTAATGGCGATGTGATGTGTTGGGCTTGCATTGGAGAATCCTGAGCTTGCAGGCCAGTAGTGTGGAGATTCCTTGAAGCCTCGTTTTTTCTTTCATGTAAATGCGAGCTAATTATTTTAGAGGGTTATTGTAAGGAGTATATGATACTACATGTGAACAGGTATTCAGTAAATATTCATTAAATCTGAATATAATACTCACAAGTTTGTGGCCAACCTCCAGACTACAATCTCCTCCTCCTCCAGGGAAAGTATCCCCTCCCCCGTGCGTGCAGCCCCCACAGCGCTAAGCACCGTGCCTTGTCCTAGGTAAGCACTCAGTAAATATTTATTGCATTGAAGAGCCGTGAAAGTATCTTAAAGAATGAAAAATAGGATCCGAGAAGGAAGGAGCCAGAGTTGTTTATCAAGAACAGAAAGGACCGAAGAGTAACTTTAATAATGTTTCTTATACGGCAGACATTAACTATCTCTATAATCGCCCCTCCTCCTTCCCAAAATGAGAGACAGAAATTGTAAGGGAGAGGCTCTGAGATAAAACCCCAGGAAGAACTTCCCGAGTCTGTGCATGTTGGGGCAGAAGCGGCGGCCGCGCCAACCCCTTCCCTGGTATGTCCGGGTCTAGGGTGGGAGGGGCGGTCCTGCTCATGGCTGGGGGAAGGACGAGATGACCTTTCAAAATCTCTTCCAGTCTCCTGTTGGAATCGTCTGTGCGCCCCACCCCCGCTCCCTCCTCGCTCCC